CACCTGTAAGAGCTGAAGAAACAGTTGGGGTGAAATCCTTCGGCAACGTTACTTGACAAGATACACGCGTGTACTATGGGTCCTCAACACCCTCACATCACATTGAGCCTTCCCCTGCGGTATTGTAGGTGATGGGAAACCCTTGAGCCTCGTCCTGCATTCCAGCGTGAAAGTGATATGGAAGTACCGACACGCACTAAAAAGTGCCAATGAAAAATAGCGTGCAAGGGAAAAGCCACGTGAAATCCATAAAATCGCGCTGGTCCACCTATCCAAGGCCATCCTCAAGTGGCCTCTTTATTCCACGCCAAACTACATCCAACATCTCGTCCGTGGCCATCTCCACATGCGGTGGGGATGACCGTGTTGCTGGCTTATCGCTTCGGAGGCTCGTTCGGTCATTCGAGCTTGTAAGGTAATCCGCGGGTGAAGAACACGCAATGTTTTCGAGTACTAGGCCTAGGCCTAAATAGACAGTTAAAGCCAGAAAAACCAGCTTACTCGGTGTGAAAAGAACACCAAAAAGCCGCCGAGACGAATGGAAGATCGAGGGGGAAAACGGCAAACGCCCGGGTCGCTGAATGGGGGTCGACGCCGACAAACCAAGCCCGAGGTGAAGGAAGTGATGCACTTCTGGAGAAAGGCGATGTCGTAAAAATTAGGAACGACACCCTCCTTGTGAGCTAAATCGATTCATTGCTGAACGTTGGTGGAGGGCGACTGGTACTGGTGGTGGTGAGCGGACAGAATGTCTACCACAATTGACCACGCCTTGAACGGAAAGGAGAGCATTTCGATGTTGCCCACGCTCGACGGACGAACATAGGGAGCGGGAGTCGAACAGCTACAGAGGGAAGTGGGGGGATACGCGTTATCGTTATCGAATCAGGCGAGAAGTTAATGTATTCCGAGCGCTCCTGGAAGTGAAAGAAGTTCGTGACAACATTATAGAACTTCTTGACGACGTAGCCTCGCAGTGTCGAGCAAGCTTGAGAAACTCTATCTGAGTCGTCGGAGGTTCTCCTCCACTGGTGGAGAGGGCTGGCGTCGCTTTCTCGTCCTTGGGGGCGGGTGTCGTCCTGTGTCATCCTGCCGTGGTTGTCCGCCCTTCGTCGTGCACACCGCATCGGCGGGTGGCAGGTCATCGTCTCACTAACCCCTTCACCACGATCCACTTCCTCCTCCTCCTCCTCCTCCTCCTCCTCCTCTCTCTCCCGTCTTCTTCACCACCACCACCACCACCACCACCCTGATGAATCCTGGCTCCCCAGCCCGTATCTGCAAGATCCACATCTCATCGGCACGATTCACCGCCTTTTGCCGATCAGCGGGTGCGAGAATTAGTAGCCCATAGTCCAGGGGTCATTTTTTCGCCAAGCGAGGGTATCAAGAAATTCTGCAGAAATGAGAGTCTCATCAGAACATTGAACATTGAACGTACTAACATCGTCCTCAGGACGTAGCATCCAAACGACAGTTGCCGTCGGATTCAATAGCTACAGCCGTCGAACAACCACGACCGTCGCTGCAACCCCGGACCAGGACATCACCTGGACGCTCAACGGCCGGGGGGTTTGAAACTGGGTGATGGGGCATCGTTGGCCCTCAAACCTTTCTTCGTCCGATTGGCGGTTCCCGGTTTCGTTAACCCACCTGTATGATTGGGCCCGAATGTCGTTCTATAGCCACGTCGGCGTCATGCATCATGAGCGTGTCGCGTTAGATTCTGCATCCAAGCTCTGTAAAAATGGAGGTCGTGACGAAGAAAAGTTTGGCCATCACATGATGAGCGAACTGGTTACATAATATCACACGATAATTCGAAAACATTGGAGAGGCGCATGGTCCGCAAAGCTGGCGTGATGTTTGCTCATGTTTGGCCCACGCATATTGACCAGTGATTGATGGTTAAGCAGCTTTTTGGCCGCATTTTGGCCGATTTTGAGCAGATCTTTGTCCATATCAAGAGAAATTTTGTACGCACAGGGGGTCTTCAGATTTTTGAAATTCACATCCTATTGTAGATATCTCGATGTAAATGTACACTCAATGATATAAACACAAAAAAAGACTCTGAAGGCCCCCAAGAGCCACAAAACACATGTCGACTGGAGAAAAAATGGGAGGGATAGAGGTCCGTGGTGAGGAGAAAAGTTGTTATTAAATTTTGACGCGCCAGACTGTAATTAACGGATTACGTAACACGCGCGTCGTACCTTGGTGTCGCGAAAAACGACGTACCTCCATCCTTCGACGCGTCATTCTTCCTGGTAATATTTCGAAATTCAATACTCACCAACCTCATAATACAGGAAAGAAACAAGCTTAGGCTCTTGTCACAGTTCCAGAAATGGAGGGAAACATTGAGACTGTTTGCAAACTGTTTCAAGAGCCACATGAAGAACAACGACGATCGATGAACAAAAGCTTGTACCGAAGGAAGTCGTGGCAAGGTTCATTGCTCGAGAACTTCCCGTGCACGCGTTGGCCCAAGAGTCACTTTCCGGGACAGAAGACATGGGCGATGTTGACGACTGATGTGACTCTGATGAAGATAATATGTTCTAAATTATGTACAACATGACATTATGTATAGTATTTGAAAATCTCAGGGCATATACGGTCATTTTAAGGACACTGGACTGGGGGGGAGTGAAAGAACGAATTAGCCACAATTCGAGTGGCTGTGTAATTAGTCATCAGCCGTGTTGGCTCACGGGCGGTGCGCCTCTCCAAAAACATTGAACACGCATCATGAGCCACCTTCTTACCCTGGCGCTCTCCGATTCGGCCTTTGTAAGAAGTTGCACCATATTTCGCATGCCCCTCAGATTCCTGCAGATGCGTTACACCGGCCATGCTGCATCCTGCTGCATCTTACTTGATTGATATCTTGCTTGCCAACCAATTGCCAACAAGCAGTCGATACAGTTGCACGCATTCGTTTGCGACGTAACCACATATTTTAATCCATGGATTTCCCGCCCACTCTTCGTCACCTAACATCGCAAATCCAT